CTAAAACCAAACCAAATCATCACCTAAGAGTGTGAGAGTATGCTCTGAGAGAAGTCCAAGGCAGGAATCAAGATCCTTAAAGAAAAGACAGAGCGAGCGGTAACAGAAAGGATGAGGAAATTCAAGGATTCAAGGATAAGAAGACGTCAAATGATTTATGTTTTCTCTTATTTCCACTTCTACAAATAAACACAAAAAATGCATACTATGAAAAGATCTTAAGAGTGAAAAGCTAGGCTGGGAGGTGGTGGTACAGGCCTTTAATCCCAGCACTTGGGAGGCAGACAGATCACTGAGTTGGAAGCCAGCCTGGTCTACAAAGCCAGTCCAAGACAGCAAAGGTTACACAGAGAAATTGCCTCGAAAACAACAACAACAAAAAGGACTTTTGTTCTTTTCTTTGGGGAGGGGGACTTGGGGCAGTGCTCAGGGTGTCCACATTGGCCTTGAACTCAAGATTCTCTTGCCTCAGCCTCCTGAGTATCTGGTATTAACCGGCAAATACCTAACTTCTCCCTTGAGAATTTTCATCTTTTCACTTAAAGGAAGCATTTATAATTGCTCTTTGTAACTTGAGTTGCTGGCATCACTATTCTCGCACTTGGGTGCCATTTATTTAAACACAGACACTAATGTAGCGTGAGTGCTCTGATAACAGGTAATAACTAAGAGATGACTAATGCTGTAGAGATGGCTCCGAGGTTAAGAACACTCGATGTTCTCCCAAAGGTCCTGAGTTCAGTTCCCAGTATGGCAGCTCAAAACCATCTATAGTAAGATCTGGTGTGCAGGTAGAATGTTGTATAAATAAATAAAAAATAAATTTAAAAAAAAGAGATGGCTAATGAGTACAGCTCAGATACAGTACCTAAAAAGGTAGTTCAGGTCCCAGGAAAGCTGGGGTAGATTCCATCTTTCTACTCAGAAAGGCACACAATTTAAAACTTATGAATTGTTTAAATCTGTATTTTGCCAATTAATATTTTTATCCCATGGTTAGGAAAAAAAATTCCAAACTACAAATAAAGGGGCTGACTATAACCTGGTTACAAGACATCATGCCTGCTACGGATTTCCTGCACTCGGTGCTTGAGTTCCAAATAAACTGTGTGAATAACAGATTAGCTCAGTTTACTGATAATCTATTTAAAAACAAATGGGAAATTCAATCTCAAAAACTTAGAAAAACCAACTCCATAAATAAATTTAAAAACAACTCTAACACCAATGTTACATAATAAAAACTTCAGTTTGGATCGTTTTTCAGACAGGGTCTATCTTCATAGTAGACCAGGCTGGCCTCAACCTCAGAGATCTGCCTGCCTCTGCCTCCTGAGTGCTCGGATTAAATGTGTGTGCCACCACAATGGTAACTTTAGATCCCTGTTATTTTTTCTATAATCTAGGTATTTCCTAGACATGTTTAGAATAACTTTTATACAGCAAAAACACAGCAGTAAATGCACTGAAAGCATAGTTTAAGCAGAAGGCCTGTAATATGGTCAGTTGTGGTCATCCATGCCTATAACCCTAGCACTCAGGAAGCTGAGACAAGAGTAGCAGTATTACTTACATAGTGAGCTCAAGATGAGGCTCAGCTGGAGAGAGACAGACAAAACCAGGATAGTGGTATATGCTTATGATGACATTAGGACGGTAGAGACAGAAAGACCAGAAGTTCAAGGCCATCTGCAGTTACATATTGAATTTGAGGCCAATTTGGGCTACATGAGACTCAAAGATGTCACCTAAAATCTTGCCTGCAGGTTTGGGGAATGAGTGGTCGTATGGTGTCCTTACCCAGTACACAAGGCAGTAAGGGACAGTCAAGTTATTCTTTCAACACATTTCCTTTTCTCCTCCACCCTCTTCATGCAACACAAACCTCCAGGTCTCATAAAATACAAATGCCTAACTCATGACCACTGTCAAGAGTGGTGAGAATTACAATTGGCAATCTAACCCCTGGATGGTGGTGATAAAAGTTAATCAGCCTTAAAAATCACTGGTCTGAATGAAGTTGCCTTTACACTGTACTGTCATTAAAACTTTTATGAACCTTTGACTCTTCCAAAACAGATGTCGAAAAAAAAAAAAAAGGTTTAAATTCTTTACCTGCACTGTCTTAGGCTGGTGAAGCTGTGAGATAAAAAGATGACTGTATTAACTTAGCATTGCCTCACTTCAGAAAAGACAGCATTTCCTTATCACATTCTTAATACGTTGGTGGTGAGGCTCACTGGAGCTCATAATCATTAATCGTGGAGAAAAACACATCCCTCTTGGTAGCAAAAGTGAAACACAGAGGGAACTGTTGCAGGATATCTGATCACACTGTGAACCTGAGGGTGTACTGGAAAAATCTGTTTCTAGTTGTAGTACAGCTCAGCTCAACCACATACCTTTAATCCAAGAATTTCCTGTTTATTGCACACAGGTGGTTGTGGTGTGGCTAAACTCTAGCACACACCTTTAATCCAAGAGCTTTCTGTAAATAGGATTAAGTAAAGTTAAGCCAAACTGGGTGTGGTGGTGCACACCTGTAATCTCAGCACTCAGGGTGGCAGAGGCATGAGAATCTTAGTGGGTTCAAGGCCAGCCTGGTCTACAAAGCAAGTCCAGGACAGCCAAGGCTACACAGAGAAAACATATCTCAAAAAACCAAAATAGATAAATAGATAGATAGACAGGTAAGGTAGTTTGATAGATAGACCGACTGACCGACCCTAGGTAAAGAGGCAAAGCAAACAACCAATTGACAGAGTGAACCTGGGGAAAAAAAAACAGAAAATGAAAGGAAGTCTGGAGGATGGACAGAGAAACACACAGGAATAGAGAGAAGGAGCATTGAGTTGCAGGGTATTTAAGATAAAGTGGAGAAGGAGAGTGGGCTTTTTTCTTCTGGGACAAAGCTGTTCTGGGACATCAGTGGAATAGGAAGGTCAGCTGGGTACTTTCTTTGCCTCTCTGAGCTAGCAGGCTTTCCCCTCAGCATCTGGCTCAAGTCTTCATTGATAAATATCAAACATCTGTGATTTTGTTTTAAAAACAACAGGGGATAATTGCAACACCAGTAAACATTGTAGCAGAAAAGAAAGGAATCTGAATATACTGATAAGGTATGCTAATGGACCAAGAGGAATAAGTCAACAAAATAATAATTGATGTTTAGTTTAAGAATGCATTTAGAAACACACATATAAGCATTTCCTATTCTTATCCTCAGAAATCTCGGTTAAAAGACACCCTGCACAGCATTTACAAAGCAAACATCTAATATGAACAATCAAAACTGAATTTGAGGGGGATGGCTCAGCAATTATTGTGGCCACTGCTCTGAGGACTGGAGTTCAGTTTCCGGAAGCCACATGAAAGTTCACAATAGGCTAACTCCAGCTCCAGGGGATCTAGTGCCTTCTTCTGTTCTAGCCTCCACAGGCACTTTGCTTACATGCATAAACTCCCACAGGCACATGAATCTTAAAAATGAGTCTGACAGACTGAGGCTGTAGCTCAGTAACAGAGAACTTGTTTAGTATACCTGAAACCTAGGCCCCAGTTTTTACTTGTTCGTCTGTTTGAGACAAAGTCTCATCTCACTATGTAGCTCTGGCTACCCTCAAACGCAACAGAAATCCACCAACATCTACTTTCAAGTGCTGGGATCAAAGGTGTGCACTAGGATCACCAGCCTAGGCCCAATTCTTAAAACAAAACAAAGCAAAAAACCTAGAAAGATGGGTGCGAAACAAACACGTGTAAGTGTTACCTATTCGAGGTGCCTCAACTTGTATACCCAGTACTTGGGAGGCTAGAAAAGTTTTCAAGACCAGCCTGATCTACATAGAGAATTTCAGACCAGCTCGGGATAAAGTGAGTCCCTGTCTCAAAAGTCAAACGGGCTGTGGAAATGGTTCAGTGGTTATGAGCACTGGCTGTTCTTACAGAGGACCCAGATTCAATTCACAGCACCCATATGGCAGCTCACAACCATCTCACCCTCCAGTTCCAGGGATCTGACACCCTCTTCTGATCTCCTCCAGCATCAGTCATGTAAGAGAACCATGCAGGTAAAACATCCATACACATAAAACTAAATTAAATTTTAAAAGCTGCATTTTTATTCTTAGAGCTTACATATATGCATCAACACCAAAGTTTTAGTTTAGTTCATAATGAACATTTTCTAGTTTGGGTACCATGTGAAATAAAACAACACAGGAACTCTCAAACTTTTCCAATACAAAATCATAAAGGTCAAACCTACCTTCCACAGCTACTTAGCTCTTCTATTAAAAAGTCTTACGAATCTCAAACCCAGCTCTATCCACTGCTACCTGAAACCTTTAAAAGTCTTACAATAACTACACTAACAACTGTGTTCTCCCTCCCGCTTTGGTTTGGCTCATGTTAATGAATGCACACTGATAATTCTACTAACCAAAAATTCTGCAGACTAGCTACTTTTTTTTTTTTTTTCTTTAAAACCAAAAATTTCCCACTATGTTTTAAAAAGTTGGACCTCTGGACTTAGACACCAATTAAATGGAAAATTACATCCCTCCTAGCTTTTAGTCATGTATAGTTAAATACTTTCTAAATGGCATGCATAATAACTTTTGGGTCTAGGAGAAGAGATCTGGTTTGACTGAAGGCTAAACAGAAGTCGGACAAACCAATTCCCAAACAGTCTTAAGACATGATCCACACAAACACAAAGCACAATGCAAATAAAGAAAGAAAGAAAGAAAAAAAGAGGCAAGAGTGTTCACTCTAGGGTTAACTCAAATCATCTGAAGACACACGGAAGCGTTTAGGGCAGCAGGTCAAAACACAGCCAGTTATATTTGTGAGTAATTTAACCGAAGCTGGAACAAGCCACGAATAATATTCGAGCTTCTGGAAATGACAGTAAAATTGTTAAGAGTTTAGTGGTCTGCATTTGAGCATCAGGAGTCTGTCTTGAATTGAGGAATTAAATGTCTTCAACTCCCACTCACCTTTCCTCCTTTTATCACTGATGTAAGGCCAGGCTTAGCTCCTGAGAAAATTGGTCTGGAGGTTCACTGAAGAACTGAGAAAAATTAAAGTTTACATGGCAAAGGTGTCTCTTTTGAACAAGGCCAAACATTTATGAGCACAATTTACTATTTTTAGTCCTCCTTAGAACTATTTAAAACCCAAATAACTTACCTAATTCAATTCTGACTACTGAACAAAACCCCATACTCGTAAAGGAGATAGAATTAACACAAGATTTAAACGCCAGGCAAGCTACCTCCCAGCTCTACCAAGACTAAAAAGTCACTTATAAGGAAAACCTGCATCTTTTCAACTCTAAACCAAACCACCCTCGTTAAGAAACTACAGAGCAGGGGGGAGGAGGGAATCCGGGGGAGAATGTGATAGCGCTAGTGCCGGTTTGTTTACAGACTCCACCAACAATCATGAGTCAGAAATTCAAGCCACCAGATGCTCTCCAACTAATAAGGACCAAGTGGGACCTTTCTAAGGTGTCCTAAAAGATCTCGGGACAGGGGGAGGTACACTAAGAATTATATCACAAAGCGTACAGGATCAGATCTCAAGAACAGACTGCTAGGTTCTTGGCCCGCGGCCTTCCGTACAAGGTGCTGGGCCTCAGAACTTGGGATGGGGGAGGGGGTACACAGCGCGGTGGGCCTGAAGTGACAGGGAGACGCAGACAGAGCCGAGTCCTCAAATTATAAAGGGAGACATGAGAGCATACAAATGGGTCACCGGACGAACAAGAAGTCCCTGTGAATTATGGGGATGGCTCTAGGGGGGAATCCCGGAACTGACCTGGGCAAAGGACAAGCAGTCCTCCCAGCACTGACTCGGGTGAGGGGAGTAAGACTTAAACCCTGGGAGCTTAGGAGAGGGATCAGGCCCATCCTGCGGGGAAGCGGTCAGGGAGAGGGGGGAACAGGCCGAGCCGGACGAAACACGGACCGGGTAGGTCAAGGGGAGGGCGTCCGGCTGGGGCAGTTACAAACACGGGAGCCGGCGAGGCTCGGCAGCCCGCTTCCCGTCTTGGGTCATCCTTCTGCCAGCGGATGCTCCGACTGTTCCAGGCCCAGCCGCCCCGTCCACTGCCGCCACCAACGCCGCCGCCATCTTACACTGGCCAGCGGCAGCCACCACCGCCGCCTCGGGTCTCTGCGCCTGCGCCTGCGCCGTCACGCTTTCCGGCCGGGTTTGCGACGCTGTGCTGGAGGAGACTGAGCGAGAGCGGTCGCGCGAGCTCGCGGCTCCCAACCCTCCCGGTGGCCGCACAAGGGGCGGAGCCTGAGGCCAACCGAAGCCGCGAGGGGCGCGTGCGCGGTGCGGAGGAGTCAACTTGTTTTCGTAGTTTCAGAGTGATGGCTTGTGTCCTTGTATTCAAATCACATGGCGATGTAGGGCCTCCTTAGCGTTGTGGTGGGAAATGAACCTCACTTCAAAGAGACTGGCAGGCAAATTACTAGGTGTCCTCTAGTCCTGAAGTTCTAATTTTTGCCACAAGAAAAAGTTTTGTTTTTTTTTTTTTTCATGTTTAAAGAAAAAAAAAAAACAAAGCAAAAAACCCCGGGCTCCTGTTGAGGCTGAGCACTGCATTTCCTTCATGGCTTCTTAAGAGACCTCCTAGCGAGGGTCACTGCTGTCTGACAGCACCCATTTGTCCATTTGTTTAAAAGAGCCTCTAAGAACTGGTCATTGCCCAAGTGTTGGAATGCTTCCTAAGGGTATAAAAGTTTGATCCCCAGGCCCGGGGTTGGGGGTGAGAAGGCTTAGAGACAGGATTTACTGGCTTTTTTGAGACAGGGTCTTTCTCCAGAACTCTGGCTGCCGTGGAACTCACTATGCTAGATATCACAGAGATCATCCAACTGCCTCTGCTTCCCAGGTGCTGGAATTAAAGGGTGCGACACCACAGAATTTTTTTTTAAATTAGCATGCAAACCAGTAAGTTTCAAACTGGGCATAGCGGTGCACGCCTAGCACTCTGGAGACTGAGGCAGGCTATACACAAGTTGGAGGTCAACCAAGAGTAAGTTCTGGGCTGGAATGAGTCCTTCCCCCACCCCGAACAAACACACACAACACAGACACCAAACACACAGAAACAAAATAATAGGTTTCCTTGTGACATGTTCATACACGTGTTATACCTGGTTCTTACTGTTCTCCTTCCCCACTAACCGTCCCCTTCTTGTTGGTTACTTTCCTCCGGTAAGTTACCATTAGCTTTCATGGGGAGTGTATATTGCATTCCTTTTTTGTTTTTTCCGTTCTTCATAGCAGAATGAGTCCCTTGTGTACGTATTCCATATTTTCTTTACCTATTCACCTGTTGATAGTTGTCTAGGTTTATTCATAATTGAGCTGTTTTGAAAATGCAGCAAAAACGTGGATATGCAAAGTACCTCTGCAGGTCGATGGTTTCAAGTGACTTTTGAGCATTGCTTTGTGCTAACATCTGAAGGAAACCCACACAGGATTCTAGGACTGCAGACTGGTCCCTGCTAACAGGCTGAACACCCTTACTTATAGCAGGGAATCCAGTAGAATCAGTGTGTCTCAGGTAAACATTAGAATAAAATAGTTGTTTTTCACCATTAGGGTAGACATGAGAATGAATAGTTGTTTTCTCGAAATCACTATAGAAAACCCATTCTGTTTTCTGTTACCTATGGAGTTGTTTTTCTAAAGGAGCTTTACAGCCTTTGCATGACTCTGCTCACAAGATAGTTCTGGCACACCTAGACTGTCTTCCATTATTGAGCACTACAAACAGCATGCTATAAGGACTAAAGTTGCAGGGACATAATGTTTTTCTTCAGGAAACATAGCTCAGATTAGGGGCTTTGGTTTAAGGAACTTGGTGTACCCAAAAAACAACTTTTCTGTAACAATCAATAAATACACTTTGGGGAAGCTGTTCAATATTCAGTCCACAGAGGCTGGATCTTCCTGCTGCCTGCAAGGCTATTCTGCAGGGTCTTTCTCTCTCTGATCGACCAGCAAGACTCCGAATACCAACAGCTGTTGAAGGTGTTGTTTTAGACAGGGTCTCCTACATCCTAGGCTGCGTTCCAATTCACTACATAGCTGGGAATGACGACCTTACATTACAGAACCCCCTGCCTTTACCCTCAGAGAATCACAGGTGGGTGTCACCACTCCGAGTTTACGTGGTGCCGGAGGTTGAGGGCAGGGCTTTTGATCTTGTTGAGCAAGAACCCCACCAAATTGAGCTGCATCGTCAGCCTCTATCTCTTCTAATCAGAAGGTCAAGGTGCTGGATTCAGACTCTTCAACCCTGCCCCGTACCAATACCACTCCCTCCTTCCCCTCCCCCTTCAGTTCTGTTTTTAAGACTGGTGCTTAAATGGCCCAGAACAGTTTCAACTTCACTTCTATAACTACTGCCACCACCTCCTGAGGGCTGGGCAGGCACCACCACGTCTGATTTTATTCATTGCTGGGAATCCAACCAAGGGCTTTGTGCATACCAGGTAAGCACTCTAACAACTGAGCTCTAGCTAGCCCCAGCCACATTCTATTCCAAGCTGTCTCTTTCTTGGCTACTTGCTGCAGTAGACATGTGGTGATTAATACTGTTAGCCTGACAAGATCTATAATTAGTTAGGAGACAAACCTCAAGGCATGCCTGTGAGGGATTACCTAGATTAGGCTAATTGAGGTGGGAAGACCAACCTTAATTGTGGGTGACATCATTCCATGGGCTGGGGGGCTTGGCTGAGTGAAAAGAAAGTGAATTGAGTACCAGCACTCATCACTGTTTCTGGACCAGGAACACAATGGGACCAGTAGACTCATACTTCTCCCTCTGCCACGCTTTCCCCATCATGCAGAACTTCCCCTCCAACTATAAACTGCAATAATTCTCCATTAGTGCCCTGATACAATTAAACATAAGCCAGCCAAAGTGTCTTCAAATATAAGCCAGGTCATAGTCCCCTACCCAAACATCCAATACTTTATCATATAATAAAAGTCAAAATTTATCCAGACTGATGGCTCAGCAGTCAAGAATACTAACAGCTCTTCCAGAGGATTGTGTTTCAAGTCCCAATACCCAACAAACTGGCTAACAAACTCCAGTTCCAGGAGATCTGATGCCCTCTTCTGGCTCTGTAGGCATTGCACATAAGTAGAACACAGACATACATGGAGGCAAAATAACACAAACACCATGTTATTTAAAAAAAATTATCACAGTAGCCTTCAAGGTTCTACATGATCTGGTACCTATCTTATTTCTGATCTTATCTCTTGCCACACTACCTGGATCAGCTCTAGCCTTATTATCCTTCTTGTTATCACAAACACCACAGAAAGTTCCAGCTTCAGCTTGGTGTTTATTGTTGTTTTGGTTGGTTTTGGTTTTTTGAGATAGGGTTTCTCTGTGTAGCCTTGGCTGTCCTGGACTCACTTTGTAGACCAGGTTGGCCTCGAACTCAGAGATTCACCTGCCTCTGCCTCTCTGAGTGTTGGGATTACAGGGTGTGCCACCATGCCCACCTCTCCGGCTTGGTGTTTTACCTTGCAATGTTCAGCTGTTTATGAGACTGCATCTCTCCTATCCAAATGGTCTCTATCCAAATGGTACTTCTGAAGAGAGGCAGCTCTCAAGTACATGGAATAACATATCCGTATCCACGTCTATACCGATTCCGATTCCACTTATGTATTTATTTTTGAGTCAGGATCTCATTGTGCATTTCTGGCTGGCCTTGAACTCACAGAGATATACCTGCTTCTCCCTCTGGGGTGCTGAAATTAGAGCCATGCATCACTATATTTAGATCTGCTTTTATTTTTAAGACATGAAGTCTCACAGCTGTGTGATAGTCCACATCTGTAATCCCAGCACTGGAGAGGTGAAAGCAGGAGGATCAGTAGTTCAAGGACACCTTAGGCTATAAAAGTCTCTACCTCAAAAACAAGTAAAGGAGAGGACAGGGAGGGGGCTCCAATTCTTGGGCTCAAGTGATCCTCCAGCCTCAGCCACCAGAATAGTACAGATGCACACTGCTACGCCCAGTCTGTATCACTTTTTCATAACATGTTCTATAACATGCTCTATAACACTGTTATTATATTTAATTTATTATGTATGGGCATTTTGCCTGGGCCACTTGTGTGAGAACAGTGCCTGCGGAAGCCAGAAGAGGGCAACAGACCCCCCAGGAACTGTAGTTACAGCCAATCAGGAACTGCCATGTGGTGCTGGGATTCAAGTCTGGGTCTTCTGGAAGAGCAGCCAATGCTCTTACCCACAAGGTCATCTCTCTAGGCTTCAGATATATATATATATATATATATATATATATATATATATATATATATA